AACTTCTTCAGAACATGGCATCACAGTTCGCCTACGTACTTGACTTGGTACCGATTTTCTTCATGGTGGCGTTGCACCGATACACTTGTGTGAGCTTGAGCGTAGCTTCGCTTCCTGCAGTGATAAAATTACCGACATCATGAGTTCTTTCTTGGAATCCCGTTCGGTCTTTCCAAAAATAGAAACCACAAAAGAATAAAGTTTCCCATAGCGATCAATTTTGCCCTTGAGATATGCCACGCACCTACTTCCATTTGAGTCAAAGTTTTTGCCTCTGCAGAACAGTTTGGTAGTATTCTCACGATCCGTAGGGATGAAAGGTGTTGAGTACTTGGGATATTCTTGATCCGTCACCTTCCAGAACTTGCCCATAGTGACCCCGCCCTTCCAGGAACATTCATCAGCGAATCAAATTTTCCCACATATAAGTCTCATGAACGAAGATACTATTATACCATAAATCTACAATGGAACTCTGAGGTAGTCGGATGAGTTATCGAGGACTGTTTTCCTTACAAAGAAGTGGATTTTACTTCGTTTCAGCAGCAATTGGTGCTCTGACATCATGTAATCTCATTTTACAGGTAACTGTAGGTAATGGACGCCTATTGAAATACTTTCAAAAATAATACGCTCAAAACAAACACAGACCCGCAAAGGGACCGATACCACTAGCACTTGTCCAAAGCCCGCACATACCGCTGCGCTTTTCGTCTTGATATCTCGTGTCAAAGAATCGTTAAGCACATTTGGAGGGCAGACTTGAGAGAGTACACACCTCCTCTTGAATGGCAATCTGAACACCTTTTCTGGTTAATCGGTATCTTGACATGCAACGTACGGTGGTCACACTGTTGTACAGAAAAACACGATCCAATAATGTTTTTGAATTCAAAAAATACTTGATGAGCACAGAAGACTCGAAAAGCGAGAAAATCTGTTCAAAACATCAAATAATGTTGTTCAAGGGACGGGATGGAAGCGATCGTTTGGGCGAAAGGCAGAGACTGTATGTAGACAGTGCATATCAGTAGTGAACTACGCTCTTTTTTGCTGGCGAAATAGAGCAGCACCGCCAATAAACTCGCAGTAATCAATTGTCAGCAATGCTGCATTTTAAAGGTACAATTGAATGATATTAATCAATTTCTTCAACATATGTATTGGTTAGAGAGCGAAATAAAGAATTGAAAGCAGAGTTTTCGTTTAGGAGGTAGCCATAAGAGTCAAGGTAAAGTTAGAAGTAGCCAGTGGGGCCGTAAGAAGAAAAACCAATGGAAACTGCCCATAGCCCGAGGAACCCCTTTCTTGCCCGCTGGTTTCCGCTTCGATGCAATTCTCATCGGTGCTGCCCGCCGTTAACTCTCTCTGCTGAGCTGCTATACTCGGACGGCGTGATTAGCCAGCGGTGGGTTTGTCGTGTCGATGACGCTGCGGGTATGACCCTGCCAGGCCACTGAAATACTTATACTATTTCACTGCGATGCGCTCATGAACCCACACCTTCAGAAGTCTACCTGCCTTTGCACTAGGTAAGTTCCCCCTTCTTCTACCTTCGTCCTTATCGTGGAATCTTCCTTTGACGAAAAATTTCTTGTCGTGGTTTTCAACTTTGTGGGTCGTGTGATACCTGCGGTTATTGCCCACACTTATAAAGTCCGACTTGCCTTATCACTAGGTACATAAGTTCCCCCTTCTTATATCTCACCGTCGCTCAGTCGTGGAGTTCCTTTGACGAAAATTTCTTGTCGTGGTTTATCAAACTTAATACGCATTGCACCGAAATGTTTCCAATCAACTCCTCGTCCATCTCACAGGAGAGGACCCAAGATAGACATCACACGTGCTAATCATTTTTCCAAGGCCTCCACCACGTGTAAATGGTACTGGTACTCTGCAGAATTGAAGGCTCCAGACAAAACTGCAAAAAGCATTAATTTTTGAGCTTGATCCTACTGATCATTTCGCTACCCTTATAATGTGTAGAATGCATTTACGATTCGCCCAAGTGCATGGGACAAAGTCCACTTACGCTTGCTGTTTCCAACAGCAGGTGTGTCCGTAATTGCGGACGTCGCAATATGGACGTGACATCAAAATTTCAATGGATTCAATTCAAAACATCGAATCGATTACATCAAGACATTCGCTACGTGTACCTACTGCTATTCTGCAGTGTCAGTATTCAAGGTAGGTAGTTCTCTAGGCTGCGATGAAAGTTCTTTTAAAACATTTTTATTCGAGGAATCTTAGGAATGCTAACAATTCTCTGTTAAAACACAACAAATGAAAGATATATTTCATCAGTAGCACCTATCGAAAACATTAGTTACGCATTCACGGCCTTCGTCATCGAACGCACCCTCGAGGTTTATCACTCCAATATCTAGCCATTGTTCTGGTGCCGGATTGCCATTGTGAATGAATTTCTTCGGAATCACGAACTTCAATTTTCGAGAGCACGGCTGAAAATTAGGTTTTGAAACCAGGAATTTGAAGCAGAATATTGTGTGGAGAACATTCGCCTACAATGCTTCAAAGTATACATCACCATCTTCTCCAGCGATCCCTTATGCTGAACCTAGGATGGAGAGGGGCTCCTGTAAAAAAAAGTTCACCCAATTTTGCTCTAAAACAGAATGCTATGATCAACCTCATCACTGTTTGACAATTTACTGACAAATTTTCTATTTTTCGGAATTTGAATTTATTATTGACCATGAACACTGATCTTGAAAATTGATTCCCAATAACGCGATGGTAGTATAAGTTGATCACCGTTTATAGGTGAAAGTCAGTGTCAGAGTGGTCAGTGAAAAGAAAATTCAGGCAAACGACGAAACGCTCATAAAACATATAGAGCGGCATGGAGAGTCCGCCTCACGGTGCCTAACGAAGACACGAGAAATTTTGACTGACTCTCTGTATAGCTCTAAAAAACACGGCGACGGAAACACTTTGCCCGCAGTGATCAATCTAATCTGCAGCCAATCAAAAGCGCGAGCAAGGCTTGAAGGAGTGTTTATAGGTTTAAGACTTCTCGCTATCTAAGGGGGGGGCGCGTCCTTCGCCGCAAAGCGCCACGCCTATGGTTAACCTCCTTAAAGCCACGAGTCAGGATTAGGTGACCATAGAAGGCCTTTCCATCACTAATATTTCCAGGAATGCGCTCAGAGGGGTGATGCCACACTCCTGACTCGAGATTGCGCGCCGTCAAGGCCTCTGGCCTACTACTTACAGCGATGGTTCGTTTTCATCAGCTGGTCCCGCCCCGCGCGGATGTGGTGCGTGGCTGGCCTAACGTGTGAGATCAGCTAGGTTGATTGCCGTATCAACCGATGGAACGGCTGGCATATCCGGAAAACTCGTTTGGACGTGGCTCTCCCCCGAGCAAGCCTCCTTCACTGCTAGAAGGGAAGGGGTTTCGATTTCGGTCTTGTCGACGGTTTTTTGCGTTTTTTCTTCACTGTCGTTCCACCTCCCATCTCTACACTCAATTTCAGGCGCCATAATGCCCAAACACGAGCCTGACTTTTGCCTTAACGTGCTCACTAGGAGGTAGCAATTTTTCCTTTCTTCGCTCCCTTCTCCAGGTCTGATTTATCTTATATTTGCAGCTTTAGGTCACGATACCTCAGTGTCCTAATTCTCTGGGCAACGTTTAAAATTTACAATCTCAACCCTCTTGCTCATAGAGGCATTCCGTCAATGTAAGACGGATGCTATTGTAATCGCGTGTTGTACGGTGATTTCGAATGCTTGCGCATCGCCCAACAAATCCCCAGACACAGAACTGCATAGATCAGGACGGGTCGCCAAAAAGACATCTGAAATTATATTGTTTGATATTGTTCAAAAGAAATTAGTGAGGCAAAAAATTTGCGACCACTGGACGAAACTGTTTTGCTTTTTCGACGGCAGGCGTACGCTGTCAAGGCCACCTTATCACTACGAAACAACGATTTCCAAGCGCAACGATACGCACCCGACAGATTTCAAATGTTGTTGTTCAGGAACAACATTCCAGTTGTTGACGTTGTGGCAGCTATCCTGGCTTGATAAGCGATTGGGGTTCACAATTAGGGCGATGTAGTGGCAAGTGGCGCCAGACACCACGCAGATGGACCTCGACCGAAGCTAGCCAAGGCCAACCAGGCCTTCCATTCAATCGACCTCGACGCACATACAAACCGCAGTGTAGGCCTGGGCCAAATTACACGGAAGATGGCACTATGATTTTGAGTTGAAGTGAAATGCGTGGCGCATCTCGAAATACATCATCGGACGCTTTCTTTTCTCTCATCCTTCTAAGATTAAATTGCTGCATCGAGGTTTTTAACTTCGAAGTGAGATACCAGTTTGAAAATTTGCTACGCTTAGAATACTGAGGCACCCTGACCCTTTACGATGGAGTCCTTGGAGTACAGCTTGCCGAATTATTGAGATCTCCTGATCAATTGTTGTCTTAGTGGTGATATAATGATTGGCAGACTTCTCCGGAAAGCGCAGGCACGGGTTCGAGCCATGGGTGGGGCAAAGGCTTTCGTACAGCGCTGCAGCTTCGGCAATATTGAAAATTTCCGGACAAAATTTTCCCCTCGCTACGATGGAAATGTAAAAACCGGGGGGTGATACACCTATACTAGCATTCCGATGCTTCCTCATTACCTGATTTAGGCCATTTTCAAACCACGAATTCTCACGAAGCTCAATCACCTCTGATATAAAATATGTATTTTTTCGGTATAAGTCAGCTGGGAGGAAGTTCGGCAATTCAAGCCTTGGATGATGATGAGTGAGTTATTTTAATAGGCTCAGTGAAAGCAGTCAACACTTACTAGATTTGTCAATGAATTTACTGGTGTGGAGCTAGAGCCTTGATCCTAATCTTTCAACTTTAGGGCGCTCATTGCATCGCTTTCGCGCATTATTAAACTGCATTGTTCGCCATGATCTGCAACTGATTTTCGAGAAGTCAGCATTATATTGTTATGTGGTTAGTCTTTTGTTGATGGTCTGGAAGCAAAAAATCAGTGATCTCGGGCTATATGAATCCATTTGGGAGCGCCTGCGCTGACTTTTTATTTGGCTGTTGTGACTATTAAAGGACGAATTCACGCTGGGAAGGCAACCCATTTCAAATTAACTCAGGGATGGTGAGTGGTACACGAAAGAAGGAAGAACCATGAGAAACGGCCCAGAACCCGAGAAATGGACCCCTTCCTTGCCCGTTGATTTGATGCGACTCTCATCGCTGTGCCCTCTTCAACACTACGCTCTCTCAGCTATCTAATCACTCGCCACGTATAGACTGCGGCGAGTGATCAGATGATCGGTGGGCGGAGATCGCCAGACCCGCCAACTTTGAGGCATAATAGGTCGCCGAGGTCAAATTTTTCGATGCGAATTGCGCATCAGTTCGCACCCTCAGGAGGTCCGTGGGTTACTCAACTAGGTGAATTACTTCTTCCTCGACCTCCATTCTAATCGTGAAATCCTCCTTTAAGCGCTCCTCGGCAGACTACTTCTCTTTTTCTTTGCTGACGGCATATTTCGCACCAGTACTTTCA